GGTGGTGAATGAGTGGAATTGGGGACAAAGAACGGGAGAAAAGAAAGGTGAATCCACTGAATGTGCTCACTTCGGCGGCTTCTTTTTGCACCAGTTAGAAGTGGTTGAGGAAGCACTTGATAAGCGCGTCAGAGAGCTGGGCGCGCAGCAGACGGCAGACGCCAATGGCCTGCTCGCACTCGCCGATCACCTTGGAGATGACGGCGCGCAGCGGCACAATCGAGCTGAGGTCGGTGCTGAACTCCGAACGCTGGTACTGCCCTGGCACCGTGAACACCTTCACAATGTACTTGATGTGCTCCTTGTTCGAGTTCAGCGCCCAGACTATCTGCTCCAGGCCGATGGCCAGCGTCTTCACCTCGGCCAGCTTCGCCAGGTACCGGCGGCAGTAGGCGCCAGAGTCCAGCAGCTGCTGCTCGGAGTTTCCGCCGGAGGTGGCCAGCTGCTTGCGGGCGGCCAGCACCTGACCGGCCATCAGCTCCATGTACTCCGCCATCTCCTTTGACTCGAGGATGATCTTCGCCTTGCGGGAAATCAGGTTCTTGGAGGACATCTGAGGACAAGCGAGAAGGAAAAGAATTAAAAACTGGTTGAAGAAAATACGCCACGTCATCACTACTTACCAGCACCTCGAGGATGCACTCGCAGATGCGCTTCTCCGTGGAGAGGCGCTCAATGGAGTTCTTAAAGTTGATCAGCCGGTGGCCCTTCATGATGCGCGAGAGGTGGTAGTCGATGCGCTTCTCCAGGCTGAACAACGACATCTTGTTCACCTCGGTGAAGTGCAGCGGGGCGTGTTCGGCGCCGGTTTTTAGAGCGGTCGAGGCCGAGGCTGCTGACGGGGGCGGCGGTGGCGGCGGCGATGAAAACAAGTCGTCCATCATCATCTTCGGCGGCGGCGAAGAGGTCACCGTCGGAGCGAATGAAGTTTGCTGCTGCTGAGGCTTCTGCTGCTTTTTGGGCGTCAGGTTGTCGGCCAGCGAGGAGAGGTCAATCGAGTCGATGGTGGACCAGGCCGAGTCGAAGGAAGGAAACATCGTTTGAAGATCGGGAGAGAGAGAGAGGGAGAGAAGAAACTACGAAGGAATAGATGAGGGAAATAAGGACCAGAAGGCAGACAAGAATGTGGCTCGGTGGCTCTCTGCTCTCTGCGAGATAACCTGCTCGACCGAATGTGCTGGAAGTGGTGGTCCGTGCACTCTGAGCGACAAAATGGAAATGAAATGAGTTGCAGATTCTGCCGGCAGCTGCGGCAGACAGAGTGGCGAGCGACTGAATTGAAGTGAAGTGATGACGAGGTTCCACGTGGCCACCTTTATCACTGGTTCTCGCTTACTGCTGCAGTGATGAGTGTCAAAAGATGAGGTGGCAGTGGTGGTGGTGGTGGTGGTGTGATGCACATACATTGTAGCGAAAAAAGATTCGACGTAGCAAAAAAGAGAAAGCCAGCTTTGGCCGAAGCGCAACTTGTTGACTCTCTGGAGCTCTAGTGGGGGAACGAACGTTGTTGTGTCGTTTCAGTTTCAAATCAGCTGTTTTTTGTTTTGCCTTTTTGCGCTGCAGATTTTTTGAGTGTTTTCTTGAAAAAGTTTTTCTTTCAAAACAATTTTTTATCATACGTTGTGAAACATAACTGAAAAGTGGTGGTGCCAAAATTGAAGAATGAAGCAGAGTGGCGAGCAAATGGAGCATCTTCTGCTGCTGGGCCTAAACCTTTCAGCACTTCATTTGGAGGCAGTCTACGAATTAGAGGGTAAGTCTTTGATTAGATCAAAAGCTTTTTCTAAGTTTTCGAAACACTTTACCTTATTGAACTGCTGCTGCAGCCACGGCTGCGAGGCCACAAAGTCCAGCGGCATGCGATCATTGGCGTTGGTGCGCAGCAGGGCGCGCAGGAAGCTGCGGCAGCTGGCGCCCAGCTCCTTCAGGCGCGGCTGCTGCTCGATGCTCTCCTTGATCGCCTCCTCAATGTCGTCTGAAGAAATTGTTGGCGACAGCAAGGTCTGCAGGCTGAAGGGCACCGCCTTGGTGAGCATGTAGTGGACGACCGCTCCAAAAGACCAAGTGTCCGCGAGAATGGGGTCGTACTGCTCGGTGGCCGGGTTGCCGAAGACCTCGGGCGGCTGGAAGTTCAGGGTTTCAGAAACAGGTTGCTTCACCTCCTCACAGGGCAGGTAGTTGATATCGGCCAGGGCGCTGTTCCAGTAGATGACCGCCTTCTTGAAGCCGCTCAGCTTGAGGGTCACCTCCGAACTGGACGGGTCCCACTGGTTGGCCGGCATCAGCAGCAGGTGCTTCGGGGCGAGGTCTCGGTGGGCGATGGCCATGTCGCCCAGGTAGTCGAGGGCCCGCTCCAGCTGGCGGCTCCAGCCGACGGCCTTCTCCTCGGCCAGCGGCTCCGGACTTTGGGCCAGGAAGTCAGCGAGACTTCCGCCGGTGACCCACTCCTGGAAGGCGTACACGGTCTCCGGGTCGTCGAACAGCTCAAAGGTGTGCACTATGTGGGCGTGCTTGTAGGCGAGGTAGCGGAGGATTTTGAGGTAAGGGGAAGTGGCCGGGTCGTACTGCGCTCGGCGGTACTGGCGCACCACGGTGCTCACCCCCGGGCGGCGGTGGTTCTTCACGCCGTACAGCTTCATCTCACCACTGTTGCTGCTGCTGTACTTGAGGTCGCCCTTGTCGATGGTGTAGTCGGCGAAGCCGCCGCCGTAGGTGGCCATGTCGTAGGAGGCGTTCGTCTGGGCGATCGCCTCCGTCTGAGCGGCCATTAGACTTTGCGCGAAAAGGAGCTTCCGGACGGTGGTCTTCACGCGGTACTGCTTCACCAGACTGGGCGCCATGCCGCGGTAGATTTCCGCTGAAGGGGATTCATTGGTAGGCGAAGAGGAGGAGGAGATGACGCCCGGCAGGGAGCGAGTCACGCGAGCAGGAGTGCTTGACGAGGAGGAGGGAGATTTGCTGCTGTTTTCAGGACTTGATGACTCAGACTCGGACAACGCCTTCTTCACGCTTCGAGCCAGTGCGTGGCTAAAGTAGGGCATTCTTTTTAGTAGGTGGGTACACTTCTTTTTTCAAATAAAGCCTAAACAGGTAATGAGCAGTGCTTCATTTTAGAGTGAGGTTATAAACAGTGAAGTGCTGTCATAAGCTGTCGATTGTTGTCGAAAAGCGAACTTTTTTTATTTCACTGCCTATTGAACAACTGTTGAGCTTCAGCAGCTCAAGATGGCAGCAATGCTGTGCTTCAGCGAATGCTGAAGAAGTGGAGAAAAAGTTTGATGTTATCGAAGTCATTTACTCAAAAAAGATTTTTGTCGTTGAGGAAGAATGCTGAAGAAGCTGAAGAAACTGCTTTCTGCCCCGGCCACTGGCCACAATTTATCTGTCAGCAGGCCATCATCATCTGTCCATTCTTCTGCTGCTCATTCTTCTTCTTTTTCTTCTGCCTACTTCTCATATTTCAGTGTGCCATTTGAACTTGAACTAAACTATTATTGCCCTTGTGCACTTGTCCCCTCCACCTCGGCGCCTCACTGTCCTCACTGCTGCTGCTGACCTGACCCTGAAGGATCAGACAAGGCAGCACATGTGTGCAAGAAAGAGAAGAAGAAGTGCACACATGTGCTGACCAGTTGTGTCGACAGCGATTTTTTGTTACCAGCCCAAGGACAACGGCAGAAAAGCCACGCGTGTGTTTTTTAGGTCGCAAGCAGAAAAAAGTGGTTTAGTGGTAGTTTAGTTTTTAGTCTCCTAATAACTGTGTGCACTAAAGTTGTGTGCACTTTGACTTCCGACGGAATTTCGTGCCGCATTTATTATTATCCCCTGTCACTAGACTGCTGGCAGAGTTGGCGGCGATCAGCGTTTTTAGTTCTAGAGCAGCAGCGACTAAACGATTCCAACGGATGGACCCAAATTCGATTAGCACACACTGAGACTGGCCAAATGGTGGTGGGCACTTATTGGCCTGCTGCTATTGCTGTCATAAACCGAAGAGACTGACGACCGACTAATTAGGCAATTAGAGCGGGGACCATTAGACGCTGAACTTGCCAACACTGGGGCATCGGCAATTTGGCCGTCTTCTTCTTCCTTTACACTGCCACTTTTCCCCCTTTCCTTCTTTTACCCCAAAAACTGTGGTTACGTCTGTCAACATTTTGCAGTTAATTTGATTATTCTGCCGAATTTTGTGCCAAGTGCAAGTGGGAGGAAGGCCACCACTAGCAAGTCTAGCCAATGTCACCCACACACACACA